GTGGAGGCGGGGCCCAGAGTGGAGGCGGGGCCCAGAGTGGAGGCGGGGCGTGGGCCGAGGGTGGGGGCCTAGTCAGGAGGGGCGAGGACAAGAAGACCTCACGAAGCCGTCACTATGTAAGGCACTCGTTGGATATTTAGTTGAGTGCCTACTCACTGATGGTGTCGTGCTAGGCACTAGAGATGCCTAACCCCTAGTAGGGCAGTGCAAAGGATAACAAACCAGTGAGCGGAGTGCGATGATAAATGTATTGGAACTGTGACTTCTAGCTGGGGCCCATCAGGAGCCATTTCAAAGAGAAATGATTCTCGTAAAATAAATTGAGTCCTCCAGGTAGTGGAAACTGCAAATCGTTTCGTGCGCCATCACTGCGGAGTAGAAAGAGAGAGGACTTTGGGGCGCAATTTTGAATCCCAGCTCTTCCAGGAGTTTGTACCGGTATGATATAAATAGTAGCTGATGCAAAGGATGGGAGAGTAATAGGAAAGACAGGACATGAGGCTGAAAGATGGATGATTATTCATGTATATACATATACATATAGAAAAAAATAAACTAGAACAGACATTGAAATGTTAATGGAATATCTCACCTGTCAAAATAGCAAAAATCCAAAATGTTGACAGCTCACTCTACTGGCCAGGCATTCTCAGAATGAATAACTGGCGGGCATCTAGAATGGTGCAAGCCCATGTAAGGGAATTTGGCAATGCCTACCTAAATAACAAAGGCGTGTACTCTTTAATCCAGATATCCATTTCTGCAAATGTGTCCTGATGACAAATCTGCATACGTATAAAATGCTGCGAGTACAAAGTTAATAATTACAGCATTATTTGTAGTAACAATTATTGGAAATTACCCAAATATCCATCTATAAGACCTGCTTAAAACTATGAAAAATCCACAGCAGGCAATACTATGCAGCAATTTTGTTTAATGAAAGAAACTTCTGCTCCTATACAAGATGGAGTAACAGGGCCTAAAACAACTAGGGGAAAAAAGACAAAATATATGAAATACCATTCTGAAGATGAACAGCAGGTGAAGAATGGTAATCCCCAAGAGACAGGAGACAAACAAGGTGAACCCTGTGCTTACCCCAGCTCATTGCAGGAGATAGTTTCCAGGCCATGTCACACAGAGCAGGAAGCCAGACAGAGACCGGCAGTCTCCTTGAATTGAAGAGATGGAGCCAGGAGTCTGGGTAGACCCAAAATGAGGAGAAAAATCTACCAATCAAAAATGATCTAGAAATGACACAGGTGATAGAGTGAGTAGATAAGGACACTATTTTGTGTATGTGCAAGAAACAGGAGGAAAGACTGTCTATATTAAGGAGAGATATGGACCACGAAGAATTTTTTTAAATAAATTGGGCAAATAGAGATGAAAATAACAATGTCTGAGATGAAAAAGACACTGAGTGAGGTTAATGGCAAATTACATTGCAGAAGAAAAGATTAGTGAACTTAAAGACATCGCAATAGAAATTATTCAGTATAAAGTATAGAGAGTAAAAAAGACTGAACAATATTTAACAGAGCATCCATAAGCTGTGGGATCTCTGACATGTGCAATTGGAGTTCCCAAAAGAGAGGACAGAGAGGGAGGAACAGGAAAAATATTTGAAGAAATAATGGTGGGAAATTTTCCATATTTGTTGAAAACTATAAACCTGGATCTGTGGAGATCCAAAATGCTCAATGGACCACAAGCACGAGAAACACAAAGAAAGCTACAGAAAGGCACAGAATAATGAAATTATTTAATACCAGTGTATTAGTGTTCTCCAGAGAAACAGAACCAATAGGATAGATAGACAGATAATTAGATGATTGTTAGATAGATAGATGATAGTTAGATAGATAGATAGATAGGGATTTTATTAGGGGAATTAGCTCATATGATTATGGATGTTGAGAAGCCCTACCACAGGCCATCTGCAAGCTGGAGGACCTAGGATGCCAGCAGCATGGCTCAATCCAAGTCCCAAGGCCTCAGAACCAGGGAAGCCAATGATGTAACTTTCAATTCAAAGTTGAAGGCCTGAGAGCCCCAGGGGCCACTGGTGTAAGTCCCGGAGTCCAAAGGCTGGAAAGCCTGCAGTTCTGATGCCCAAGGCCAGGAGAAGAAGAGTGTTGTCTCAGCTCCAGTAGAGAAAGAATTCCCCTTTCTGCTGCCTTTTTGTTTATCAGGACCCTTAGCCAGCTGGATTCACAATGAGGGGGAATGTTCCCTACACAGTCTGCAGATTCTCACACCAATCTCCTCTGGAAACACCCTCACAGACACACCCAGAAATAATGATTTACCAGTTCTCTAGATATCCCTTAATCCAGTCAAGTTGACACTAGGAATAAATTTAAGTAAGGAAATGAAAGATTTGCACACTGAAAACTTCAAAATATTGCTTAAAAAAAATTAAAGTCCTAAATAAATGGAAGAACATTCCATGTTGATGGATTGGAAGACCTAATATTGTTAAAGTGTCAACACTGCCCAAAGTGATCTACAGATTCAATGAAATCTTTATTATAATTCTAACAGCATTTTTTCCCCAGACATTGAAAGACAGATCTTTAAATTCATATGGAATTGCAAGGGGACCCAAATACAACGTTGAGAAACAATAAAGTTCAGGGACTCAAACTTCCAAATTACAAAATTTACTACAATCAGAACTATGTGGTACTGTGATAAGAATAAACATACAGACTGACAGAGTAGAGTTGAGAATCCAGAAATAAACCCATACATCTCAATTGATTTTTTATTTTATTTTATTTTTTGGCAGCTGGCTGGTATGGAAATCTGAACCCGTGATCTTGGTGTTATGACACTGTGCTCTAGCCAACTCTAACTGGCCAACCTTCAATTGACTTTTGACAAGGGTACCACATCCATTCAATGGAAAAATAATAGTCTTTTCAACAAATGGTTCTGGGAAAACTGGATGCAGAAGAATGAATTGGAGCCCTATCTCACACCAAATACAAAAATTAACTCAAATAGATCAACAACCTAGATGTAAGAGGTAGAACCATAAAAACTGGAGAAGAAAACAGAGGTAAATCTTTATGACCTTGGATTTGGCAATGCATTCTTAGATATGAATCAAAACCACAAGCAACAGCAAAATAGATAAATTGGACTTTACCAAAATGTAAAACTTTTGCATATCAAAGCACATTGTCAAGAAAGTGAAAAGACCACCTATAGAATGGAAGAAAATATTTGCAAATCATGTATCTGATAAGGATTTAATATTTAAAAAATGAGTTCCTACAACTCAATAACAAAAAAACAAACAACCCATTTTAAAAATGAGCAAAGGAATGAATAGACATGTCTCTGAAGAGGATTCACAAATTGCCAATAGGCACAGGAAAAGATGCTCAACATTTTTAGTCATCAGGAAAGGCAAATCAAAATCACAATGAGGGGCCAGCCCCGTGGCGCACTCGGGAGAGTGCAGCGCTGGGAGTGCAGCGGCGCTGCCGCCGTGGGTTCAGATCCTATATAGGGATGGCCTGTGCGCTCACTGGCTGAGCACGGTGCGGGTGACACCACACCAAGGTTTGTGATCCCCTTACCAGTCACGAAAAAGACAAAAAAAAAAATAAAATCACAATGAGATTGAACTTCACACTCTAGAATGACTATGATAAAAAGTAATATAGAGGCCGGCCCATGGCTCACTCGGTAGAGTGCGGTGCTGATAACACCAAGGCCACGGGTTCGGATCCGATATAGGGATGGCCGGTTTGCTCACTAGCTGAGCGTGGTGCTGACAACACCAAGCCAAGGGTTGAGATCCCCTTACCGGTCATCCCTTTAAAAAAAAAAAAAAAAGTAATATAGAGAACCAAGAATAATATAGATAATA